GACGACGACGACGACGACGACGACGACGACAACAGAAACAACGACAGCGACAACGACAACAACAACGACAACCACAACAACAACAACAACAGCTACTCCTACTCCTCCTACTTCTACTCCTACTCCTACTCCTACTCCTACTCCTCCTCCTCGTCCTACCCCCACTCCTACTCCTACTCCTACTTCTGCTGCTTCTGCTACTACTATTATTCTTATTACTACTGCTACTACTCCTACTACTACTACTACTACTAGTACTACTACTACTACTGCTGCTGCTGCTGCTGCTGCTATTACTACTACTACTACTGCTACTACTACTACTGCTACACTACTACTCCTGCTGCTACTGCTACTACTACTCCTACTCCTACTCCTACAGCTACTACTACTACTACTGCTGCTGCTACTACTACTACTACTAGTACTACTGCTACTACTACTACTACTACTCCGACTACTACTCCTACTACTACTACTACTACTACTACTACTAGTACTACTACTAGTACTAGTACTACAACTACTACTGCTACTACTACTACTACTAGTACTAGTACTAGTACTAGTACTACTACTACTACTGCTACTACTACTACTACTGCTGCCAAGCTCACATAAATGATATTCCTATACTGTAATCCAATACATATTTGTTTATAATATATACAAATAGTATTATGTTATAATTATGTTATATAACAATAATATATATATATTTATTTATTTATTTTTTTTATAGGTATGCTACTACATACACCTGTGCCAATCTCTGGCGGCCCAGTCCTTGTCAATTTTCAATACCAAAAATACGCAGCCCAGCCTGCACATCAGGAGGTCTTACGAGACACCTGGCAGTTCCAGGGTTTAGTGGTCTCTGATTGGTGGGCCAACCGAACTACCAACAAGGCGCCACAGCGCGCGCTGCGGATGGGGGTATTGTGTCAACCACATTTTTTAAAACCAGAAATCTGAGTCATGCGGCATGCGGCCGGAAAATATGTGACATACACGGCTCCAAAGCCAGCGTGGAGAATGCGGGATGTTCAGGATATGTGTGTCCAACATGTGCAAGGATTCGATTTTGGGGGCAAAGATGTGGGTCCAACAGTTTTCACCCTCCTCAGGGGGCTTCTTGCACCTCCTGGTAGCCCAAGTAGCCCTGGTCCGTCCTGTCAGTGTTTGAACCTTGTCCCAATCCCTACCATCAACACAGCAAATTGTGTGAAAATAGGGCACAAAAACATATCACTTGAAACTGGCGATGGAAAACCCAGTACATTGACAATTTGATAAACATCACAAGAATAGCATAAAAATAACTGATAAATGGATGGTAATCCCTTCAATTGTGGTCCCATAGGTTTTTACCAATCCCCAAATGCCAATCTCCACCATTTCAGGCCTTAGAAGCCGGTCTCAACGTAGAGATGCCCGGCATCGAACCGCGTTACTTCGGGGGCTATTTGCTGGAACAGGTGAGAAGTGGGGGACCTATTTGACGGGTGGTTCAGCCATATATGGGTCAGCCCAGTTGTTGAATATTATCCCATTGACTGTACCTGGGCCATCCAAAATCTGTCCAATTTCTGGGGACTTGTTGGATAGATTTTGTGTGTTTTTTCATCAATGATCACCTTTGGGGTGCCCAATTCTGAACCATCTCCGATATTAAACAATCCAAACGTGAGGGATACTCCGACCTATTCTTCATGACAAGTAAGATAGTCAGCATATACTGACATTACCTGCAGACGTACATATCAACCAATTGAATATGCCAAGTTATAGGTACATGTTCGATCATGGTTTCTCAAAATTAAGAAACAAATTCCATCTAAGTTCCAATATTGACAAGATTTGCAATGGCTTTATTTTTAGCCCATAGTTGCCTATCACATTTTCGTTTGGTCGTCGCCTAGGCTTCCCCAGGGTACACTTGTATCACGGAGCCAGGCCCGGGACGGGCGCGTGTCTACGGAGTTGTTGGACGAGCGCTGCAGACCCATCCTGCGAACCTTGCTGCGATTTCCGCGCACAGGTGGGATGGAGGTTATGACGATTATGTTTAAGGAAGAAGATGGGAGAAGATGGGGTTCACCGGACCACCAGTTTTTTTTTACCCATAGCATCCCATAGCCATATGGAATCATATGGTACCTCAGACCCTGCAGAGATGGAAGAAGATGGAAGGAGATTTTGGATTTTTGGTCGTGTTTGTTACTCCAAATGATCCGCCATGTTCTTTCTTTGGGGTTGGATGTTTTGAATGGTCAGAAAGATCCATGGATAGACGATCCCTACAGTTGTCTAAATAGAACATAATAGAACTACGCTGTATTATACTCGATATTACACTTCTCATATCTCATAACTTCTCTTTTCATGGGTGAGGAACCCCATTTGCCCAGCAAGCGTCAGCGCTGTTGGAGGTCACCTGTTAGGAGTTGCTTTTCAAGCAACAAAAGCCCAACTTTGGGCTGCCCCGCTTTGTAGCCACACCCCGTAATTTAGGTGCGATATGTTTACGGTAAACTTGATTATTCTTTAAGTGTACTTGTGTCATCTTATGTCTATTTAAGTAACATTTTTAGTTGCTATCAAATAGTTATCAATTTATTTAGTTGGAGATTTTCCTATCTATATCTATCATATTTCTATCTGATAGGTGCTTTGGAACATGTTTATTTTCCATATATTGGGAATGTCATCATCCCAACTGATTAACTCATATTTTTCAGAGGGGTAGGTCAACCACCAACCAGTTATATGTTATTTTTTTAACGTACAATATAAACATGATATGTTAGGAAACCAATCTCGGGGGTTCCATAAATGAGGATACCCCAATAGATATAGATATATGGATATATGTTCCCAATATATCTAAATCTATGTGATATATGATATAGATATATGTTCCCAATCATTCTCTATCTATGTTTTCAGCTCCGCCAGGCGGAACCAAGGCTCCGGAGATCTCCAAGCGGAAGGCGATCTTCACCAAGGCCGCAGTGGAATCCTTGGTGCCTCGGTCTGTTGGTGTTTCTTGATGAAAAAAACATTGGGAAATATGGGGAAATATGGGGAAATATGATGAAATTATGTGGAAATATGATGAAATTATGGTGAAATATGATGAAATTATGGGGAAATATGATGAAATTATTGGAACATATGATGAAATTATGGGGAAATATGGAGAAATATGATGAAATTGTGGGGAAATATGATGAAATTATGGTGAAATATGATGAAATTATGGGGAAATATGATGAAATTATGTGGAAATATGATGAAATTATGGGGAACTATGATGAAATTATGGGGAAATATGATGAAATTATGGGGACATATGATGAAATTATGGGGAAATATGATGAAATTATGGAGAAATATGATGAAATATATGGGGAAATATGATGAAATATATGGGGAAATATGATGAAATTATGGGAACATATGATGAAATTATGGGGAAATATGGAGAAATATGATGAAATTGTGGAGAAATATGATGAAATTATGGTGAAATATGATGAAATTATGGGGAAATATGATGAAATTATGTGGAAATATGATGAAATTATGGGGAACTATGATGAAATTATGGGGAAATATGATGAAATTATGGGGACATATGATGAAATTATGGGGAAATATGATGAAATTATGGAGAAATATGATGAAATATATGGGGAAATATGATGAAATATATGGGGAAATATGATGAAATTATGGGAACATATGATGAAATTATGGGGAAATATGGAGAAATATGATGAAATTGTGGAGAAATATGATGAAATTATGGTGAAATATGATGAAATTATGGGGAAATATGATGAAATTATGTGGAAATATGATGAAATTATGGGGAACTATGATGAAATTATGGGGAAATATGATGAAATTATGGGGACATATGATGAAATTATGGGGAAATATGATGAAATTATTGGAACATATGATGAAATTATGGGGAAATATGATGAAATTATGGGGAAATGTGATGAAATTATGGCGAAATATGATGAAATTATGTGGACATATGATGAATTTATGGGGAAATATGATGAACTTATGAGGAAATATGATGAAATTATGGGGACATATGATGAAATCATGGGGACATATGATGAAATTATGGGGAAATATGATGAAATTATGGTGAAATATGATGAAATTATGGGGAAATATGATGAATTAATGGTGAAATATGATGAAATTATGGAGACATATGATGAAATTATGGGGAAATATGATGAAATTATGGGGAAATATGATGAAATTATGGGGAAATATGATGAAATATATGGGGAAATATGATGAAATTATGAGGAAATATGATGAAATTATTGGGGTAATATGATGAAATTATGGGGAAATATGATGAATTAATGGGGAAATATGATGAAATTATGGGGACATATGATGAAATTGTGGGGAAATATGATGAAATTATGGAGAAATATGATGAAATATATGGGGACATATGATGAAATTATGGGGAAATATGATGAAATATATGGGGAAATATGATGAAATCATGGGGAAATATGATGAAATATATGGGGAAATATGATGAAATTATGGGGAAATATGATGAAATATATGGGGAAATATGATGAAATCATGGGGAAATATGATGAAATATATGGGGACATATGATGAAATTATGGGGAAATATGATGAAATATATGGGGACATGGTGAAATTATGGGGAAATGGTGGGCAAAAAATGCCATGCGGAAAGTTTCATGGTCTGGTGGATATTTGATGGGCTTTTAACTTTTGATAGATTTTTGTGGTATTTTTTTCTGGGACCATAGATGTCAACTAACGTGACGCCCACAATGAGTTGGGGATTGGAAGCGAAGTTTTTCCTCTAACATGGGCAGGACGATGATCTCGGTGAAGTAGAACACCTGGAGAGTGCCCTCCAACTGTCCAGGAATGTCCACCCTGTGGTGTGTCACCTTCAGGTGTTATTGAAGAATTCCGGTGCATTGCCTTTGAGACTCGACATGTCACCGGCGATGTTTCGTTTGTGTAGCTCACTGAGGAAGGGGAAACTCGAAAATCTGATGGGTTTGCTACTACACTTGCCAGTTTCGGCATCTGCAATTCCGGGATCTGAAATATTTAAGATATTGAACAGGGTCCAATTCAGTGTTTGATGCAGCGGTTGCGTAAAGAATGAAGATGATGACTGGATCTGCATCTTTTGTGAGGATCCAATCAACACGATTTGCAACCCATGTCACTACCCAAAATCACAATCCCGGTCGCAGGGTGTTTTGCCCCCTTTGCACCCCTGAAAAAAGTAACATGTAACCAGATTTGAAAGATTATATTTTGTGTCACTTCCAGCCATAGTTTCGGGTAAGTTCCCCCTAAAATCAAACACCCCCAATATCAATATCTACCATGGTTTAGTATGGAATTTACCGCATCTTTGGGACCGAATGGGGGTGAATCTGAAGCCAAGGAGAACTACATCCGTGGCGCGCGTGGCGGTGGTGGGACCCAAAGCGCGAGCCACCACTCTGCAGGGTGGAGGAAGCAACTTGGAGCGAAAAGCGGTGAAAGTTGGCGATCAACAAATGACCCTTCACATCCATATATATCCATCATATCCACTATATTGGGTCAGTTCATTGTGATTTTTCTGGATATGTGAATCGAATCATCTTTTTGGGGTATGGAAGCGATAGCAGGGCTATGAATAAAGTTTTGGACACTTCCAGCCATGCTCGGAACATCAGCTTACAAGAACGGGTATGGGCAACATGTTTGTGTTCCTGGTTGTTACCCCATGTGTTCTGCTTAAACCCCAATCTTTGTTTATTGTGTTTATCGCCTGACTCACTGACTCACAACATGCCCCTTTTTTAGCTGCCTCACCCCCCAATGTTTGGTATCTAAGGCACCGCTTTTGCTGCTGAACACCCAAAATTCAATAACATATGGAGCCAAAGAAAAACCGTGTGCACTAGTAACATGATCTTCCACAGACCATGTTTGTATTTCCATGTCGGCTTCAATGTCCACCCCGGATTAATAAACCATGGTTTATTAATTAGGGGGGTACTCCCCGAATAGTCAGAATCTGATACTTAACAGGTACTCCTCCAGTTAAACAGCCTAAGGGTTTATTAATCCAGGGTTGACATGAATTCAAACATGGCTTGCTGAAAAATCCTTGATTTACTTCGATGGTTCGAAGATTTTCTCATTGAAATACAGTACTCCGACCGCAGGTAGTCGTGTGCATCCCGACCGCAGCCCCAGCATCCTTTCAGAGTTGGAGAAAGCCCTGGACGGCAGCGGAGTGCAGTGGCTCGGTCTCATGAGTTACACGTGCGTGTGCGGTCTCGGAGGATTGAATCCAAGGGGGGTTATTCTAAGCCATGTTTATGATGGATACTGTATACAGTTATACAGTTATACAGTAAAAACTACAGTTCATTGATCTTAATGGTGGTGATCATCCGTTTAGGAACTGGCGAGTGTTTGTGGGGTCAGTTTTCCCATGTTCAAGTCCAGGAATGGGATTTGGATTCCCACTGAAACCAGCTGGCAGCTGGGGTGAGGTTTACCAGCTGGAAAATTGAGATGAGGATATAGAAATCCCCAGCAATTGATGATTGAAATCCAAACTGCACATCTGTTGAGATGTTGATTTGGGCTACTTTCTTTTTGGGCAACAGCCAAAACACTCTGAGTGTGTTTGGGTCAATATGTTGGTCGGCGGAAGGACCACCAACAGCATCGGTCACGCTGCCACTACTCAGATGGTAACCTGCCAGTGAGATATGCCAAGGCTCATGATCAGAGATCAGAGATGGGTGCCGGAAAATGCCGGAAATCTGAAAGTCTGTAAACTTACTAATCCCATCCCCCTAATATTAAACACCCCCTTAGAAACCATGGTTTAATCGGGAATTTCCACATAATAGGAACCATTTATGGGGTGTTTAATATTAGGGGGATGGGATTAATCATGAATCAACTGCTGATGATGTGTTTTTTTTGATATCTCTGTGATTTCGGTGATTCCATATTTGTCCAAAGCACATGGAATCTGGCCAGAGCCATGGCCAGGGCCGTTTCCGAGGTTGGTGCACGAGACCGGCTGCATGATGGGCCAGAGACCCACAAAGAATCCTGAACTCGAAGGGCTGAAGAGGCGGCACCTGGGACGTTTCTCTGCAATTCTTAGGTCCAACCATATCACCTTGTTCGATCAGACCCCTTAGTAGTCCTTAGGGATTTTATATAGCCCCCAAAAAAGATGCGGAACCGTATTTCCAGGACGGTAGTGAACCATGATGCTTTTTTTTCTCGTCATGTCCAAGTTTCCGGAAAACTGTTCAAACCATCTTTGTGGGTCGCCCCAAAGTTTCAAGATGTTTCAAGCCAGGATGGGCGCCTGTGATGCCAATGGGCAACCCATCTCCTTCCACTTTGAGGCAACTCGAATGGTGGCCTTGCACTTAGACCCACCAAGTACCGGCCATGAAATCCTGACTACTGTAACTTGGTGTGTTCATAGATATTCATGGATTTGTTTTGATTCGTTGATCCTATTGTTTCCTTCATGAATGTTTTGTTTCTAGAGATTCATGGATAGCTGGTTGGTGCTGTGGAACTTGTTCCATATATAGGGAGTTATAGGGAATAATCAACCCAACTGACTTTCATATTTTTCAGAGGGGTAGGTCAACCACCAAGCAGTTGATTTGTTTTGATGGGCGATGGGTTTACCATCCCACTGGGAGATGACATCCCACACCGGGAATGGTTTACAAAAGTCATATGACTAAACGTGCAATTGTTGTTTAACCAGTAAACGTGGAATCATTGCATTTGACAATCATATGATATATTCATATATATATATATTAATATATTAATATATTAATATATCCTAATTCAATTACAATTGTAATCAATACATTTATATTGATCTTTATTATCTATATAATTGTTATAGATTATATCATCGTTCTATAGTCATAATATGATGTCATATGATTCTATGATATATATATAAACTATCATTACTCATCATTACGCATACATTGATGTTCATTGAATTGGCTTTACCACATTGGTTCACAGTTTTCACCCATTGGCCAGGCCAAACTGCTGGATGTCATTCTGCGGATTGCGTCCATTTGTTCCCAGAAGGTCTGGGAAGATTGAGCCCGGTGTGGGGACGGAGTGGGGAATTTAGCCGCACAAGATGAACATGTGCAACGGCATTTAAAGTTGATCCCTTCTAATAGTACTCTAGCTTAACCATGGAAAATCATCTAGACTTTGTTTTGTGGCGGTATTATCACTATGAAAAATATGGCATCCTCGTTTCTACTGAAAAAAAAAGCAAGAGGTGACCTCCTGGTTCCCATGTGAGCTTGGCTAAGAATGATGAACCTACAGCAGAGGGATATTACAGATGGCAAGTTTTTGCGGTCCATTGGTGAGCAGGATGTCATTATATTTTGGTGAAGTGCCCATATATTTTGGGGCTGCGAAAATGGCCAAGGTGTGCACAGGATGTGCATCTCTACCAATGGTCCCATAGCTTTTATTACTTAGGCTAGCATAGCCATGAAAACCATATTGCTTGGACAGTTCGACGATTGACCAATTGACCTATTCAAAATGGTGATTTCCAAAGCTACTCTCCGGTAATCAAAGATGGGGTGCTGGATTTGTTTCCATGTAGTTATATGTAGTTTGATGAATTTCCCAGCTATCTCCATGTATGGAGGATTTTCTATTGCCATCATATTTGATTACCCGAGGATTTTCTTGCCTGGACATCATCTCTTTTTCAAGATTTGCAAAGGCTATCTCCCATATCCCTATAATTGGGATCCAACCCCCCAAATTGTCCTATTCAAGCCTACCCTTTGGTAAACTAACACATAGCAAATGGTCCATCTCTTGTTGATTTTGTTGTTAAAATATGTTAAAATGATGATTTTCCATAGCTACTGTGGATGGTTCAAACCCTACAAAATCCTACAAATAATATCAAATAATGGGATAAACGGTATAAACCACCTATCAACTGGTGCAGGATTTCTTCCATCCGCAGTTCACCCTGGATCGCCGCCAGGAGTTCTTTCGCCGCCGGGTGATGCCATGCTTGCGGCCCCTGGGCCTACGACACACCGACCCTGACGAGGCGGCTAGGGGGTTAAACTAAGGAGAAACCAGCCCTTATACAGTCTAAACTTACAGTGTATGTGTATGTAATACTTATATTGTGTATGTATGTGTATATAAACTCAATGGTTATCTTTAGGGGCTTCAGCTTAATCATTGATGAGTTACCGACTGAGAATTCACCACTCATTTTACCAGACGGATTTGGATTCTATATCCCAACTTTTGGGTGATGTTTACGCGTGAAAAAGACAGTTTGCACATGTTTGCACTGACCAACAAGAACGACCTCGTCATACATGATTCTTGGAAGAATCATCGCAAACCTGGCCCTTTGTCTGCTTCGTGAAATCATTCGAGATTGTTGAGGATAAAAGTCCATGTATAATTCACATTTGAGATCAACAATGTACAATCATGGCTTCAAATCTGAGAATCTAAACTCGACTTGTTCGGCGCACTTTCGATTGGTTGCGATTTGGGCAACTTCAGGCATCTTGGGATCATGGTCCCCTGCTCGATGTTCATGTTTAATCCATTCCATCCCATGGTGGTGTCATCATTTGCGCAAAATGACGAATTTTGAGACAAAGCCATTATGCCATAGCCATAACATAGTAACACAGTGTTGAACATCTATTTATGTATATATATATATATCCTATCACTTGTCATTGTATCCCAATATCCCAAGCAATATCATATTTCCACGGTGTACCCCGAAAGGATCAACAGCCACTGGAGTCATGAATCTCATCCCACAGGGTCCGGGTATGTCCAATGATTGTTGTATGATCAAAAAAATGTTTTCCACCATGTGAAAATGCCATAGTTCTCCCATGTAAAAAAGACCATTGTCATTCAATGAAATTGGCTTTCCCATGCTTTCCCATATGAAAGATCCCAACATGAGCATGGAGCCGGCCAGGCGCACAAGAGCATTGTGTCCATGGAATGGGGAAGCGGTGATGGAAGCGGAGTCGAGCGCAGGGGAGTGGCTTCATCAGCATGACGGGACGGTGATGGCAGGGGACGTGATGGTTTTTCATGTGGTTCAATAAGGATAATCATGGGATAATCATAGGACAATGATGGGATACTCATGGAATCATATCATGGAATATGAATGGAAAAAACCCTTTGCCAGTTGGAAGGAAGGTCAAAGCGCCATAGTTATAACGTCTTTTTTTTATGTTTTTGGATTTCTTGGCTGTTGGGTCTCTTGGTTTCTTGGTTTCACGGTTTCTTGGTTTCTGGGTCTCCTGGTTTTCTAGGGTTCTAGGTTTCTTAGTTTTATTTCTTGGTTTCTTGGTCTCTGGGTCTTTCTCGGCTTCTTCGTTTCTCGCTTTCTTGCTTTCTTGCTTTCGGAGTTTCTTGTTTTGTTTTAAATGTGACTATTTCCACATTTTCTGCGCTTGTTTGTGTTGCTTCGTTTCCAGAGGTTCTTCGTTGGGGTTGTTAAGAGCATTGGTTTCTACATTTTTAGTTTTGCGGAATAAGCCTTAAACACATCCGGAAAGAGTTGCAAAATGTTGTAAATAACCCATACACAAACTATACGACAACCCTAAGCCAATTATAACAACCTGACATAAATCCTCAAGCTTAAAGCAAGCCTAATTCAGACCTAGACCAAGCCTATCGAAGCCCTAAACAAACCCCAAATAAACCCTAGACCAATCTTAAATTAACATTATACAGTACCAATCCTAAATATGCCCCAAATGGCCCCAAACCAACCCTAGATAAACTTTAAACCAATCCTAAACAAGGCTTTAACCACCACCAAATAAACCAGAAACTGTCCTTAAATAGGTTCTACACCAACCCTTTACAAATAAATCCTAAAGCGATCTTAAATAAACCGCAAATAATTTTTAACCAACACCAGACAAAAACAACTTAAACCAACCTTAAGTAACTTTAAAGAACACCAATAATCAACTTAAAAAAAAAAACAACCTAATTGAAACTAAACAACCATAAACCAATCCGACATAGATTCTAAACTAAGCCTAAAGAAACTCGTTCAACTTTAAATCATTCCTAAATAAACCTTAAACCAACCCGAAATAAACCATGAACCAATCCAAAATAGAAGATTGTAAGTCGACCCTACTCCCAAGTAAATATAACCTTAACAAACCAACCCAAAATAGACCTTAAACCAACTTTAAGCCAACTCTAACAATCCTAAAGCAAACCTCAAGAAACCCCAAACCAACCCTAAAGCAAACCTCAATAACCCCCAAACAAACTGTAAAGAAGCCCCAAACCAGCCTTATAAAACATAAACCAATCTGAACCAAAACTTAAACCAACAGTAAATGAAACTTAAACCAACCCTAAACCTGATGGAGATGTGCTGGAAAATGACTGGCGTCCCTGGGGTCCCTTGCCAATCAAATGTCCCAATGAAACATCTCCCTGGAGGTTGTACTGAACATTTAATCTATAAATTGTAATCAAACGTGACAATGGAAAATCTCGGGAGGTTGCAATGACAAGTTTATCTATAAAGGGCGGATGTTCCGGTGCAATGTTTGATTACCAGAGGGTCCCCCATAAAATCAAGAATCATGGGGATTAAAAAAAGAGATACTGTAAAATGATATAGAACCACCGACGTTGTTTGGCTAGCCCCCAAATTGCAATGTTGATAGTGGCAATAATGATTAACAAGTGGATGGAATGGGGGTACTCTCTTCTCAGACAAATTCATTGGACTCATAAATGGTTCCCAAAAAGATAGATCAGATAGAAGGTAAGATAAGATAATGAATAGTAAAGCATCATCAACATAGGCTTTCCCTGATCTTCATTTGTTCAAAAGAGCTTTGCAGTACACCAGCTCAATGGGGCCTGGGTTCATGCGACCCAGTGGAAGCTAGTGAAATCCACCTTGGTAGGGTCATCATGTTAGTTTGAAGGATGGTATGTCCGATGTTCCTACAACAAGCAAACGGGTTTTGACAACTGGACATCACAAGCCCATTGACTTGTCATGCACTTCACATGCATGTGACTTCAGTGAGAAATTAAGGATATCTATCCATATGTATATCTCTCTACAGGAAAAACAAACTTATATGTGGAGGGTATACCCAATTCCTTTTTGTTTGAGGCAAACAGTCCATATGAATTGGAGGATATTAGACGGACGGTCCCCATCAAAATGGGGATGTGGCAAAACCTAATTGGCATACGCTTCACCAAGATTTTGACCAATAGCCACACCCTCATCTCCATTCATATCCCACTCACATGTTATCTATATTTATCTATCCATCTATATTTATGTATCAAATGAATATCCCATAAGATCCCATTAATATCCCATGTTATCAGCATGGTATGAGCCAAAAAACATTTCCCATGGTATTACGAGTATATTCACATGATGTTACCAGTGCAATAGCATCTATATAATTGGTTGGTGTCCCATGATTTAATTTCATGGGGCAGCACCTTTCATCTTCGCCATGTTTTTCTTTTTACCATTCAAATACCATTAGGTTACCATGATACCATTATTGCCATGACCTTTGTGGTACCTTTCATCTCCCTATGAAAAGCTGCTATAGTACTACAGTTATACCATGTAAACAATAAAAAACAAGAGTTTTGGGGCACAACCTGAGCTATTGAACATACCAGTGTTGATTGGTTGTAAAAAAGGGACTGGTGACTATATTACCTGGTTTAGTGGTGATTATGCCACAGCAGGGAAAGCTATATTCACTAACCGGTATTTCATGAGATGAGATATGATAGAATCCCAACCCAATTCTTCCATGATCCCCAAGAACAAAATCCCAATATTTTCCATTTTTCAATCCCAACATTTCTGGTTGGTGGTTTGGAACATTTTTTGATTTTTCCATTCAGTTGGGAATTTCATCATCCCAACTGACGAACTCATATTTTCCAGAGGAGTAGGTCAACCACCAGTTATCCATTGTTCAATCCCAACATTTTTTGAACACCATGATGTTGAAGCATAACCACACCATTTTATGATCCATGTTTTTGGTGATTTTTCATTTGGTTGGTGGTTAATATACTATTAATATATGGTTATTATATGGGATTATAATGAGATAATCATCATTATTATATGGGAGTATATACCAATAATGGTGGTTATCCGTATATGGCTCACCTTGATCCATGTCCCAGACCATGATGCTCTGGGGCCTCCTCGCCGGCGGCCTCTGCGGCGCCGCTGCCGCCGGCGTCGCGGCCGCTGCCGCAAAGCAGCGCGGCGCTCTGCGCCGCCTTGGTGGGCGCCGGGGGCGCGCTGGGCGCCATTGGCGCCGAGGGACTGAGACAGCGACACGTCCAGGCGACCGGGAATTGATGGGTGTTTTGATCCATGGATTTTGCCATGATTTTTATCCATGAAAAAGGCAGGAACCCTGACACATTCGGTGTTTAACTATGAACAATTGGCAATTGACATCAACTGACAATGAAACCACAGTATTTAAGCCGGAACAAAATTGGTGTTTTAGCCATGAAAACAATGTATTTACCCAGAGGAAATGCATTTTTTAACCGTGAAACATTCGGTATTTGAACATGAACAAATTCTACTCCCCGTGAACAAAATGCAGGCATGCAACATTATGTAAAGTTTTTTTTGTCAGCATGAAAACTTGGATGGAACACTGGGAATATACACAATAACATTCGGTATTTAGGCATCAAACATGTTTATTTCAATGCATTTCATCATGAGCAATGATATTTCATGATACTTAACCAGGGCACATTCGGTACCCACGGAATTATTTCCATGACCTGCAGGCCTTAGAGAATGAGTCCAGATCCATGACGCGCGCGGAAGCCCTAGCGGCTGACTGCGACGCCACGGTCTTGGTGGTAGGCGACCTGATCGGTTGGGGGTTGGCGGATCCAAGTGGGGCTCCCAATAGCTAAGTTCAATGGGAATAAAAAAGGATCCTAAAATGGAGGTACTTAAACGTACCATATTTCTGGCCATATTTTGTGGTTATATTCCCTGAAATTTAGGCCTCAGAAATAGGCCTTATATATGGTAGCTACCTCCAATTTAAGTTCCTGAAATGGCCATTGATAAGTTGGTGAACAGAACTCCAATTTCACCATATTTGATGATACATACACCTATAGGACCTATAGTCAATGGGAAGTTCATGGGGTTTATATACCAACCAACATCACTGTAGGGAAACCATGGAGAAACCAGGCAAAGTTCAGGATTCGTGGATTAGAGCTGTAAATCGGATAACGTCCCGAATTGATCCTAATTATAACATCAACCATGGCTTATTAGTGGGGTTCTTAAGTTTTTTTATTGTACCACCCCATTCATATATATACTGTATATATATACGTACATGATATATATATATATACATGATAAATATATATATATATATACATGATATATATATATCACCCCATTCTCAACCCTGGCAACCCTGGTGGTTCCAGGTCATTAAAGATTTTGCTACATTAAGAAAATAACAGAAAGAAGCCCCCATTCAGATTCTGTTGAGATGATTTTATGTATAGATATATATATATATAGATTTGTCATTAAGATATTATCCATCAATATTTGGAGGTTTCCTAAAATGGGGGTACCCCTAAATCATCCATTTTGATAGGCCTTTTCATTATAAACCAACCATTTTGGGTGTATCCCGCATGACTATGGAAACCCCCAATATATACTGGGCTATAGATATATCAACCCTCCAGTGTTCCGAGCCAGGCACTGACGGCTTCTGGGAATGCGAAGGGGTGGACCAGCCGCATATGCGCCTTCCGGGGAGACAGGACCTGTGAGGTTGGGGGGATGAGTGACAACGACATGTGGATTCAGTTAGGTATAGTAACTATTAGTATACTGGAAGATGCTGAGGTAAATGGTTTCGTGTGTATATATATATAATACATTATACCGTGTATAGATATATATATATATATACATGGTTTAACCGGTTTCCAGTTTTCTCTGGAGTAGTTGGATATTTTAGTTGGAGTTATGTCCAGGTTGTGCTAGTTATTTATTGGAGATCAACCAAAATTGTTGTATCCCGGTGCCGCGATGGGGAAATGCAACCCGCAACAAAATGCCAATAACATTGCCTTACTTAACTGCTTACCTAGTTTTTTTTTAAACGGGGCCTGCAAAAACTTGCAGACAATTTGAAGTGACATTTCCTGACTCATACCTATCTATCTATATATATATATTATGTATATAAACTTGACTTCACAACTACTCTCACAAATTGAGCTTAACCAGTGCGAGATGATAGAGCCAGTGCCCTGTCTGTACCTCAAGTATGGAGCCAGGCAAGGACTGATTTCATAGGGTATGTTCTTGACAAAGGTGCACATCCAAAGTTCAGCATGTCCCTATGGCACTACGGTTCAGGGCCAAGTCTGCTTTCCAGTCCGCTACTGGAAGTGGAACCACAGTCCTGTTCTGGTAATCCCAGATGACAATGATGCCAACTCGAACATTCCAAAATTTGGCTGTAGCTCAAACTTCATAACCCTCGAATTGGACGTTTGTCTTGATAGACCAGCCATTGAAGGATCCATTAGCACCCCAATGACTCTTCACCAGATGGCAAAAAAGTATTCCATATGACTTGGGGGTATCAGAATCCAGCACAACAGCTTGATGTTGATGTGAAACCAGGGTCCCAGGTCTTTGACCCATTCCATTCTCATGAACCCTCGAAAGTCATCAGATGCAGGACGAACTCGTTCGCAGATGCGCTGCTGCTGCACGAGCGGCTGGCAAAGCAGTGGTGGTGGTGCTGAATGTGGGAAGCCCAAAGGCGCGTAATGGCGAAATGGACATGGGCCTATGGGTTTATGATGGATAGTAAGGGCGATCATGCCCATACTTTACAAAACGTATCATGTTGGCGAATGGAACTTTGGAGGTGACTTGGGATACACCATTTTAGGAAGCCTGCGTCGTGAACGTTGGATCTATTCAGTATGTTGAGTCAAGACGTTGATGTGAAAAGATATCAAGGAGTTTTGTGTTTTTAAAGCTACTGTAGGGTCAAGAAATGGTGTTTTACAAAACCTTTTGGCCTCTGGGATGCGAAGAGTTATGGGAAGAACACCAACAATGATTCAATGGACCAATGGGTGTGTTGTATAATTAAGGACCCCATTTTTGGAGGAAACTCTTTGGTAGGTCTCAACATGTCTATTACATGTCTAGACACATAGAATATAAATATATGGGCCCCTTGGCACCCACAAACTTCGACAGACGTCATTTGACGGACATCTACTACGTCCCGGTAACCCCAAGAAACAAAGATTGGCAGTAAAGGAAAGGTTTGATATTTGAAGGATGCTAGCAGAAATGACCATCCTAAGAAGGGTGATTTATTATTGGGTTTATCGCATGTGCCACAGTATCTACAGTTGGATTCAGCAGGAATCTTGGGAGATGGTCATCGATTCTGCTGTACAAAAATGATGTTTGGATTCCCACGGAACTTGACCATAGCACACATGTCATCCCGTCTCATCTTCTCACCAATTTTGGATCCAGGGGACAATTGTGGGAAAAAAAGGCGTCCTTGTTCAACATGGATAGTTGATTGATAGTCATCCCATGAAAGATGTCACCAAATGACTATTAATTAATTTGGTAATTTGACATCTCATCCCATGACATTTCATCGTTCATGAAAAAAGTCATTGATAGATGAAAATCCAAAAGCAGATCCATCAGAAATGGTGATGTTCTGCTAGATTAAATCGCCAGAGGCCGCATCTCGTTGTTTGGTTCGCGGGAACCAGTCGCAGACCAGGAGCTCCCTTGGTTAGAGGATGTGGATGCCGTGCTTCTGTCGCCTGGCCTGTGGTTGCCATGGCAACAGTTTTTTTCTGTTTCGGGGTTGTTATACTTGAAACTGGCAGTTTTTCGCTGCCAAGTAAACTATACAAAGTGAGACAAAAAGTAGAAGCATTGGGTTTGACCAACTAGTTACTTTTTATTCTAGGGGCAGGTTCCCTGAAACCAAGATTGGTCACACGCCGCTTAAGACTGATTGACTATGCTTTTAAGAAGTGTTGAGCCACTCAAGCGGCGCGGGGTAGCCGCGTAGCCCAAGAAAGTGGGGATTTGCTTCCCTGGGATCGTCACACAGCCGTCCCTGTATTGGATGTGCTGGGGTGAGTGTGCTCAAATGTGCTCAACATATCTTGAACAGTGTATGTATACTGTATAACATACATCTAATTATGGGCTTATACCATGCGTAAAACTGCACATCGCCACTTTTTAGTGCCTCATTTCATTTTGGTTGTGGAACAAAAGCACCTATACATGAGCTATAGCCACCATGTGTTTGACAGCTGGGAAGCCAATAAGACTCAATCACAACCAATTTGGAATGCGATTTCCGATCCCATTATCAAGATCCATTTCGATCCATTTCCTATGGGCAATCTCAACAGTTGACCAGCATCCTGCTATCATCCGCATCTGCGCTTGCTGAGGTCCTATTTCGGTGGAGAATGCACCGCTGCGTCGATCTCCCAGTGTTTGTTGGGTGCCTGTCCCGCTGGGCGTTTGCCCACGAGCTGGCCGCGATGCCTAGCCGAGGTGGGTGTGGCTAGAACTTGGGGAATGCCAAGATGGGACTTGGTAAATGGGTCAAAGGATAGGTTAATGATGGTTAATGCTCCCCAGTTCTGGCCATCTATAGGGAAAATCATCATGAACCAAGAGATTTAGGCGTTTTTTGCGTATTCCACTTTTCGACAAAGCAACATGTCCCATGACTTGGGGATTTTGAAGACATGACTGGGAGATAGCCCAATTGATCCCTTCTGGACTTCTTGTGATGGGACGAGATGGGACAACTTGCGGACATCAGTCCAGGATTTCTAATATGCTGCCTATTGGAGTTCCCAGGTTTGACTGTCTGACATATGATTTATGCACAACAGAGACCTTCACTGGAAACATCAAGTTGATCGTGTTGGTAGGTTGTACCTCCATAATCCTCCATATCCCTGGCATGTTGCTTGTATGATCTGGATATCGTACGTTGTATCGTACGTTGTACAGCTCCTCAAGCAGCTCGGATACACATAGAAACGAGCAAAACATTCCCGTATCTTGACATGTGAGCTGAGTGTCCAAACTGTGTGTCTGTCTGTGTGTATATGTACTGGTATCTGCCTGTCTATCTATCTCTATCTCTATATTATACTATTTTGCCTTATCTTATCTTATCTTATCTACAGGCTATCTTTCTATTTATCTATATGTCTTTCTCATACGCATATGTATACATATATAATCTATATATATCTATATGATCTATATTTACATATATTATATACATAGATATGTCAGCCAACTCCAAGTGAACCTTTGAAACCACAGGCCTCCTCCGAAGTCGCCCGAGCTTCCAAGATGGATCGACCAGGCGGGGCCGCCCTTTCGATCGCTGACGCCTGGCTCTGGTTATTTTGTGGAGATGATATGAGATATCGATGACGTTTAAACAAATAAGGGTATAGTTGATAGTTAAACAATGTTAAACAATAGAAATAAAATGTAATAAGAAAGATATCCTTAAGTTGATGTGTAAGATTGTGTAAGTGATTGGGCCCAAAAACAAGTAAATTGGTTGATGTTCATCAATCCAACTGTACATCCACAATAAATCCAATCATTAATTAGCCTAGTTATTATCAATAATCTATTTGAGGGAGAACCGTTTGCATTGGAGTGAGAGTGAGGCTGAGATGTTTTGGAGATGAAATGCCCATCCATTCAACAAGGGTTAGTTTGGGTTTCAGGGGCATAGACAATAGCTCAGAAACGCTCAATTGAGGGTCTAAGTCACTGAAGCGATCACACTTCCATGTCAAGATTTGAAGATTGGGATTCGGTATCTTTGAGATTTGAGGCAGGCCAAGGAAACCGGAAGCCAGGGCCAGCAGAACAACAAGATACAACAAGGGCACCCTTCTTGCGGTTTTAGAGGCATTTAAGGACCTGGTCTCCAGTTGATTTGGATTTGTGCCCAAGTGTAGATTCATGGCTTATTCACCACTTACTTGGATAACTTGCAGGTAATCAGAAACCATCCGAAACCAATAAATTGCAATGAAACTCATTGGGGGGAATTAGGGCCTTAGGGATTATCATGATCCAACAAAAAGTGTTTTTTTTGTCCCAGATGTTTGACTTCGAATCGCAGATTCTCCCTGGAATTCTCCCTCTTCCCAGGTGACGTGGAATATCACGAGGGTTTGCATTTGGGCTATCGCAATGGCGATTTGGATCCTGCCTTCCACTTTGGCCACGGGTCGCTGGGACTTGGCAAACGGGACACTGTGGCCTGTCGTGGGCCGCGTTACTACCTTGGTTGGTAGTCAAATGGTATATGTAAGGAATATATTGACATTATTTGGACAATATGATATAGAATATGCATAACTAGTACATCAATGTACATCATATATATATATATATATAGATACAGTATATACATATTGTATAATATGGTATACACTTTATATTCAACAGTGCATAATTGCATATGCAATGGTATATGCCATCTTGCAAAGTTATATTAGATATATATATATATAAATATACACTATAATCTACTATTACAGAGTCATATGCACATCTTTGGCTACAAATCGGGGTACATAACAGACCCCTCATGAATTGTTTTGTATTTTTGTTGACTTTGGGGGTTATCGCCCTTCTGGAACAATGTCCATTTGGATGTTGTTCTTGTGTCAATAATTATGGGTTCTCTCACCACTGTTCCAGTTGCTCCAAATATCTACCATTCAAGAAATGCAGACTTGCAACACTATCATACATGGGTAAACAAAAACTGAAAACTTTGCCAAATGGCGATGAACAAGAAGGAGAACTTGACGATAAACCGGTGGAAAGGGCTATCCTATCAGACAAAGCCAAGTCCATGCTGAACCAAATCATACAGTATATATATAGGTAGAGTATAGGCACGGGCAGCACAAATAATTACTGGCACAATTCAGAGCCATGAACGAGTGTACCTACTTACAAATACACATATTATATATATATATATATACATAAGTATAGTATATGTATTTAAAACATATCTTATTGAGATGCCTTGTGTGCTAGTTGTGCTTTCTAGACCTTGGTTCATCTGACTTCAATAGTGACCAGTCATGATCATACCCCAGCAGACTTGATACCCTAGGCCCTAAGCTCAGGACCAGCTCCCTTTCACCATGTGGTATGCCACAGTCACAATCCCAGTTTTTGCAACCATGACTGGACGTCCAAAACCAAGGGGAAGTTGGTTTCCCATCAGATCCAAAAAGATCAACCCGGACCCGTTTCCCGGCTTCCCGGCCGGCTTCCCATCCTCCGCATCTCAGGCTTTCCTACACTCGTTTTGAGCACAGTGACTTGCAGGTGCCGCGCAGGTGAAGCCAATTACACCGGTTGTTCCATGGCCCAAACATAGGAAGAAAAGGTAAGAAAAGGGTGCCCCTTTGGTAATTGAACATAGGGAATTGGATGAACATGGCAAGTGTAGTTTGATGAGGACCTGAAAAAAACCTATCCATTTTTGTTCCCGTAGTAACAATGTTACTTGATCAGAGGGCAACAGGGCAACATCTCAGCAGGGGCTCAATGAACTGACCTCAAAAAAGACCTGTATCATCCACCCATTTTCGTACACCTGGTTGGTGGTTTCAAACATTTTGTTTTATGTTCCATGATAATTATATGGGATAATCCTTACCATTGACTTTCATATTTTCAAGATGGTTAAAACATGTTAAAACCACCAACCAGACACTTAAGGGAACAAATGAAGCAATCTTTCGCACAACGTCATCTTCACGACCTGTAGCCATGACCGACGGAACCTGGGGTGAAACACTGGCAACAACCGTGTATTGTATCTATAAACATACTGTATATATATTTATGTACAATAGATATATTAGAACACAGCAGAACAGAACAGAACAGAATAGAATGCAACAAATAGAACGGAGTAACATATAATAGAATCAAATAAAATAACTAACAGAGAATAGGCATGAATAGACTAGAATAGACTAGCATAGATAGACTAGAATAAACTAGAATAGACTAGAATAGAATAGAATAGTGTAGAATAGAATGAAATAAAATAGAAAAATAGGACAGATCTTGAATAGAATAGAATCGAGTAGACTAGATACATAGATAGATAAATAGATCGATAGATAAATAGATAGAATATAATAGAATATGATCCATACAATAGAATAGAATAACATGAAATTACAGTAGATTAGAATAGGGTAAAACGTTATTAGATTAGATTCGGTTAGATTATATAAATATATCAGATAGATAGATACAGACGTATCTGATACTACATGTTTGTACGTGAGTTCTTCTGAACGTCGAGTCCTATTTAAACATAGGGTTGTTCAGTTCTGGAAAAAAACAACATGTCAGTCAGCCTGACAAGTTTGTCAGCATGGTCAAGTCACCCGGTTGAGCTTGTTCATGTAAATATCTCGTTCCATAGGGTTGCAGCTTCATGTCTAACGTTGCATCCTCATGTTTCGTGGTTTTGGCAGCCGCATGTTTGTTCTCTGCGAATGTTTGTGGGCTACGTCCACCTTTTTTCTAGGTCACACTGCTCGCAGGTGGTGGAGTTGTTGAGGATTTTTGTTGCTTAACAAGACAATTGTGTCGATCATAACCCTGCCTCTAGTTGCTGAAATCTACGATTTTATGGATGAACAATGATGAACAACATCGAAGAACATAAGAAAAAAGAAAGGAACAAGTGAAAATATAGTGGACATATATGTTGGATTGATGCACGTTTTCATCATGTTGTATCTTAAAAATGTTTTTTTCTTGACCACGTCTCCTTGGTTCAGCTGCAGCGATCTCATCGCAGGTGGAGCAGAAAGCCACAATGGCCACCGTCACCCTGCAGGTGATCAAAAGGGCTGGGAAAACCTGGGAGAACCCATCGAATTGAGGATTTTCCATGAATTTTCCATGGTTTTTCGATTGGTTTAAGGGATTTTCAATTTTCTCAATGAGAATTTCCATGGTTTGAGGTCGAATACTCAGAGTTTTCCATTGGTATCTTTAAGTCCAATCAAAAACCATACAAACCTTCATGGAATCATTGTTCCTAAGGGGAATCACCCGCAATTGTCCGATCTTGGGTTGGTAAAATACTACCTACTGCTGTTATCCGCATTCTACCCTTTGTGCTGCAGTTGTGCTTTATTTTTTATTTACTCCCCTACAGGATTACATAGAAAGAAAATGAGGTTCCATGTTAAGACACCTTTTTTTTGCGCGTTTGTTCCATGTTAAGGTCAAAACATGCAAAAAAATGCTTTCGCACGCTAACATAGAACAAGGTAGGGTGAACGTTCTAAGTACCAAAAAATGACCACATAAATTTAACATGGAACAGAAATTAGCCAATCCTACATTAACATGGAACAATTTCAGGTATGTTGATATTTTTCTTAAATTTTTGAAGGTGAAAATTGGCCCCGCAATCATTAACATAGACCCTGTTATGGAAAAAACATTTTTCCCGCCATGTTCCATGTTAAAACTTGTGGAGCTCTGGAGGGGCATCTTCGAAGGTGAGAATTGGCCCCGCAATCATTTACATAGACCCTGTTATGGAAAAAACATTTTTTTTCCTGCCATGTTCCATGTTAAAACTTGTGGAGCTCTGGAGGGGCATCTTCGAAGGTGAGAATTGGCCCCGCAATCATTTACATAGACCCTGTTATGGAAAAAACATTTTTTTTCCTGCCATGTTCCATGTTAAAACTTGTGGAGCTCTGGAGGGGCATCTTCGAAGGTGAGAATTGGCCCCGCAATCATTTACATAGACCCTGTTATGGAAAAAACATTTTTTTTCCTGCCATGTTCCATGTTAAAACTTGTGGAGCTCTGGAGGGGCATCTTCGAAGGTGAGAATTGGCCCCGCAATCATTTACATAGACCCTGTTATGGAAAAAACATTTTTTTTCCTGCCATGTTCCATGTTAAAAACTTGTGGAGTCTGGAGGGGCATCTTAACATAGACGCTGCTATGAAAAAACACATGTTTTTTTCCGCCATCTTCCATGTTAAAACTTGTGGAATTCTGGAGGGGCATCTTCGAAGGTGAGAATTGGCCCTGCCATCACAGGGGTCATTAAAAGACCTGATCTGACCAGATTGGACATCACTTTTTATCATTATTCTTTTTGATTTGGTTTTGGATTTGGTTTGGGATTTTGTTTGGAAATATCTTCTTACATATCATTGGGGGGGGCAGGGCGTCAGTGAAAATGTCATCAACACAGTACATACTTAGTGAAAACCACTTTGAAAACCCTTAGAAACACCATGACGTCTTAACATGGAACTCACAAAGTTTTTTTCCTGTCTATGTTATCCTGTCGGAGTACAGTAACATGGACATGGGGGGAGCAATTGCCCGCTTCTGTTGCAATCTTGGCTGAGAGAAACATTGTTATACGGGACACATATCCTGCGGAAAGAGGCAGCTGAGTGGGCTGGGCCTGGAGGTCAGTGGTTTTGGATTTTTAAGCGTGCTGGAATCACAAACATTTTTTTTTTTAATGGGCAATACTGGAAAGGGTTGGAGCCATTCATCAGCTACTGTAAGTACCACTGCATGGGGCTTTCTCCAAGCAATGATACTGCAATCCTTTTTACAGCACTGTATTGTATCTACTGGTTTTTATTTACTGTACTGTGCTTGTTTGAGAGGTTGGTCGGTCGATCGATTTGTCGTTGAGATGCTGTGATGGTGTCTCCCACGAGATGCCGCGATGGTGTCTCCTATTTTACCACAAGAGATGCCGTGATGGTGTCTTCTATATTGACACCAAAAATGCTCCAAATGAGAAGTTTTAAATAAAGAATTTAATTGGAAACACATATTTCATCATCTCAAAATTCAGGACTGAGCCGGTTGGACCCCAATACCCCCCCAATGGTTGACACGGAACAGGCCAATACAGTGCCCCAACCGGTGAGTTTTATTCTATTGTGCTGTAATCATTGATTTTTGAAGTACAGCATTTCTTGTACAGTAGTCAAGTTCTATTTTTTTTCTACCGTATGTGTTTTCCCGAACATGCCCTGCTTTAACATGGAACAGATGGTCCGTTTGGGACTGTATGTACTGTATGTACTGTACTTCACTGTACTGTAGGACCATGTCTCTCATGTTGGCTGAGGTTTGGCCCTTGCCCGACATTGATCTTCAAAACTTCCAAAGCCCGTCGGTGTCCCCAACGGCAGCCAGAGTTGGAGAGTTTTGTGGAGTAACTTACAGTACCCAGCCTTTGCTCATACCCATGTGGAATTGGAGGAATGATACATAATATTGTCATTGGAAAAACAAACACCTTGTTCATGACAGTCAAACATTCATTGTTTCCAGGCTTGGGTTGCATAGTCAATGGATAGTTTGGAGCAAATCTGAAAGAAGGGAATTACAGTATACTGTACTGTACTTCGGGCCTCTTTTTGGAGATTACTGTACTGTATCCAGTGTAGTGCGCTGACTGGTGACCATTGCCACTACTGTGCTTTCGTCCATTGCAGCCGGGCTCTTTTTAAAAACACGTTCTGTACTGTAGGTCAATTTTGTACAGCATTCATGTGTGTTTTCTTCTCACCTACTGTAGCCGTCATGCGCCCGCGCACACACACATGTTACTGTAATGTACTGTGCTGTAACAAACACGCCACAAACCAACACCAAAGACTAAGACAGAAAGCACAGGAGGCCACGCTGACGCTGAACAATGGGACTCCACCAATAACACTGCCACAAATCACAAAATTCAATTCTCCCTCATTTACCATAGCCATGGCAAGTAAGGAGGTCGCAGAGCGGAAGAAGTATGCTGAAAAAAGCAGACCGGAGAAGAGGAAGACATGGGAAGAGGAGCAACAGTCAACTGTTCGTAGAAAGAAGGTAGATATCTGGTGGAAGGAGGATGGCAAAACGGATGCAGAAATGAGGATAATGAAGAGGAAGACAGCAGAGGAAGAAGAAAGGAGGAGGAAGGCAGAAGAAGCAGAAAAGCAGACGAAGGCAGAAGAGGCCGGGAAGAAGGAGGCTGTGTTGGAGAAGGAGGCTGCAGAGGCTATTCCATCACCTTCGCACCGTGGTATCATTGACAAAACTGTTCTACTGGTGGCCAAAGGTGGAGATGAATACGAGGTAAGGATCTTGCGAGAAATGAGCCACACCAGGTTCGATTTCTTGTTCCCCAACCATCCATACAGACCGCAATACGAGCAAAAAAAGGAAGAGGCCAAGGCAGCAGTTGCAAAGGCTAAAGCTGCAAAAGCATCCGAAGCCCAAGAGAAGCGGACGGCAGTAGAGGAACAAGAAAGGATGAGGAAGGCAGAAGAAGTCGAAAAGCAGAGGAAGGAACAGGAAGGCAGAAGAGGCCCGGAAGAAGGAGGCCAAAGAAGAAGCAGAAAGGAAGAGGAAGGCAGAAGAGGCCCGGAAGAAGAAGGAGGCCAAAGAAAAAGCAAGGAAGAGGAAGGCAGAAGAGGCCCGGAAGAAGAAGGAGGCCAAAGAAGAAGCAGAAAGGAAGAGGAAGGCAGAAGAGGCCCGGGAGAAGGAGGCCAAAGAGGAAGCAAGGAAGAGGAAGGCAGAAGAGGCCCGGGAGAAGGAGGCCAAAGAAGAAGCAAGGAAGATGAAGGCAGAAGCGGAAGCCCGGAAGAAGAAGGAGGCCAAAGAAGAAGCAGAAAGGAAGAGGAAGGCAGAAGCGGAAGCCCGGAGGAAGGAGGAGGCCAAAGAAGAAGCAGAAAGGAAGAGGAAGGCAGAAGCGGAAGCCCGGAGGAAGGAGGAGGCCAAAGAAGAAGCAGAAAAGCAGAGCAAGGCAGCAGAGGAAGAAGAAAGAAACAGGAAGGCAGAAGAGGCAGAAAAGAAAGCGGCAGGGCAGTTCAATGCCGCTGTAGCAAAGATGTTGGAGGGGGAGGCTCTGATCAAGAGAGAGCAGGAGGTCAGGAGGCATCAGAGAGAGGAGGAGGATGCAGAAAAAGAGATTGATGAGATGGTGAAGGAGGCTATGAAACATGTGAATGCTGAGGAGGAGGATCAGGATGATGATGAGGAGAATGAAGAAGAAGACGAGGAGAAAAAGCTTCAAAGCAGCCAGGTGCACTCCAAAGGAAAGAGACCATGCAAGATGAAGTGCAAAAAAAGAAGGGAAACGAAGCGGTTCAAAGAGGCCAAACAGGTCCAGAAGGAGTACCGGGCTAGGCTTGGGACGGTCTGGGAATAGCAGGGTTTCAATGTACTTTACCGTGTTTTACAGTAGTGTACTATTCCTGAATCCTGAAGTTCCGTGTTAAATGTTATTGTAAGAACAAGTCCCCCATGTACTGTACAGTGCTGAATTCCATGAAGTACTGTACTGTTGCTGTACTGCATGTGCTTTACCAGCATTGTGCTGGACTAGAAAACTCGAACTGTCCAAGTCGCTTGTGGAAACACATCAGCCACAAATATTCCATGTGAATGAAATAATGATATATACATCAGTACAGTACAGTACAGTAATGCACGGTAGAAGAAATGATTTCCCATTTTGGGGCGACACTATGATTGTATTGTTTTTCTTTTCAGTAGGGAAAACATATGAACTTTGGTGGGTGTCCTTCAGGAAATCCAAAATCATCATTAGTGCAAAAGGCTGCTGTCCTTTTGAAATCGATTTGTTTTGCTTTCCTTCCAGAAAACTGTCATTAGCGCCACGGCTGTTCCATGTTAATGTATTGCTGCGTGTCTTTGGCATTTGTTGTACCGTACTGTAATGTTGGATGGCTTCGGCTTTTTTGGGTTCCTAGTACTGTACAACATCAGATCCCAAAATTTGAAGAAGAATTGCAGTACTGCAAGGGTTGCATTCAGGAGACAAAAAC